CTGTGTAAGTGGGCGGAGGCTGCAGGGCAGAGGAAAGAGCCAACAATGGCTGGGCCATGAAAGGGCCGGGACAATTCCCAGAATTCCATGAGCACTCCATGAAACAGGGGAGCCAGAGCTGTGGAATCCCTTAACCAGACTGCACCAGACTAAAAAATAAATATGTATACAGATCTTTTTAGATCTGTCTGGACCAGATGGTTTTGGCACCAGTCCCAGTTCAGCCATGTTGAAGAGCTGAGCTGCGTGTAGCCTGTCCTGACTGCTCACTGTGTACTGGAGACAAGTTGTTAGACATCACTTTTTTTTTTATTCCCTTTAAAGACAAAAACCCAGCCACCCGAGAATGCCCATTAGCGAAACGCGTTGGCACCGACATCACTTCCGGTCAGTTGGAACTTCCGGATTAACCACGGTGAAGTGCACACCAGCTCTCATTACAGCTGTACAGAGCGGCAGCGGCTTCTAATAGAGTATATACTGTTAATATGTGCCAAAAAAAAACAAAAAAACAACTTCCTGGGCACCGATATATGTGAATTAAATAAAGTAGTGGTTTATGTTTTTATGCGATGAGTCCCCCTCTTTGTTTCTTCTTAATATGAGCGGAGTTAACCTAGGTCTGAGAGAGAGATCTGGAGATACAGTACCATAATGCGCGTTTTGACCTGTTGTATAACATATATCCATTTGTTTTGGCGACTTGAGACTGGGGAGGAGTGGGAACGATTGGTGTGGTAAAATTTGGTCAACACTGTGAAGTTAAGCACTCATAAGGATGTTAAGTGGAGCACTTGATGAACACACAGTACACACTTATGGTAAGCTCCACAATGCAGTGCCTAAAGGTTGCATTTCAGAACAGCCCTACAATTATCCAGTCCAGTGATGTCTGGGTACGTCCAGCAAATCTATTGCAGAAGAAATGCCAATCTGGATTGCGGTGTATAGAGACCTCCTCAAGCAGTTTGCAGAGGAATTTAAAACTTAGGAATGAAGGTAAATGATGGAAGAAAAAGCATGCAGTGCTTTCTTCAAGCCACTTTCTTCATGATCCATTACGTTGGAAAATTTTCAAGACAGCTTATTATGCTATCTTGACACCCTAATTGAGAGGCTACTCAGTCTACATTTGTTGTTCTGTACAGGTTTGCTTCCTTCTTTGGGCCTTTAGAATTTCCAATCGTTTTAAAGAATATGTTACCTCAACATTTCATATTCCTGATATGTGTCTATTGTACCATGTACTTGTATGAAAAAGTATCATGTTTCCTTTGTATTGCTTTGTGTAAATTATCTGGTGATCCTGCCAGTCCCCCTGCTTCTCTATTCAAACTGACTGTGTTAGGCAGAAGACCACATCTATCACAGCATGATCTGTTTTCTGGCTGTACTTTGAGAACAGCCTGTCTGTCCTACATTGGCCAAGACATGCTGACATCCCCCCTACACAACCATTCACTGGGAAGAGCAATGTACTGGTGTTTCCCCACCCCTAGCTCTTAAAGCTCCTTATGCAGCTGAGAACAGCGATTATGAAATCACTTATATAAAAAAAAAAAAAAAAAAACAGGAAAAAAAAAAAAGATCATCCTGAACACTGGAAATAAAATGAGGCATTCTGGGAGTAGGAGTTATAACAGACTTATCCTATAGATGGCAGTACAATCCATCACTCTGAATTTCTGTGTCCCTCAATAAAAGAGAAAGAAACACTATTGCTGGTAAGCTAATGGCTGAAATGTAAGTAGTGCTTTGGTCCTTAAGGGTAATTCATATCTGGAAGCTAAAGTGATTATGTGTGGGATATTAAAACTTATACAGTTTTTTAATTAAGAAATGCCTCTCATGTTCTTATAACAAACCTGTACTCTATTGTAGTTTTAAAATAAAAGTTGTGTCCAAGGGCAGACACTAAGTAAAGCCAACAATTGCCTTATATTAGTAAAAAAAAAACAAAAAAAAAAAAAAACACATCTGTGTTCCTATCCAATTTAGTTCACTTATTTTGTTTGTGCTGTCTAACTTTTTTACTTCATGACATTCTCCACTAGGTTCTAGCTACTGGCAGGAGGCTTACTTTCTAAAGGTTTAAAAGGGAGTAAAAGTTCACTTTAAATTGATATACAGTACTGTGCAAAAGCTTTAGGCAGGTGTAAAGAGATGCTGTAAAGCAAGAATGCTTTCAAGAATATATATTTTAAATTATTTATTTATATCAATTTACAAAAAACGCAAAGTAAGTGAACAGAAGAAAAAAAATTTAAAATCAAATTAATATTTTGTGTGACTACCCTTTGACTTCAAACCAGCATCAGTTCTTACATTTGCACACTTGCACAAAGTCAGGGATTTTGTAGATTAGAGTCAGGTCTTTGATTAACCTATCATACCAAGCAGGTGCAAATGATCATCAATTTCATGTGTAGGTTGAAACACAGTCATTAACTGAAACAGCTGTGTAGAAGGCTTAAAACTGGCTGAGGAACAGCCAAACTCTGCTACTAAGGTGAGGTTGTGGAAGACAATTTCACAGGTCATATACCACAGCAAGACTGAGCACAGCAACAAGACTTAAGATAGTTATACTGCATCAGCAAGGTCTCTCCCAGGCAAAGATTTCAAAGCAGACTGGAGTTTCAAAGCTTCAAGCGCTTTTGAAGAAGTCCAACAAAAACGGACAATGCTGAGGACCACAGATGGCCTAAGAAACTTAATATAGCAGATGAAATCATGCTTACTTCCCTTTGACATCGGAAGATACTGTATGCAGCAATGCAATCAGAACAGAAGTGGCAGAAACCAGTAGGACCCAGGTACACCCATCTACTGTTTGGAGAAGTCAGACCAGAAGTGGTCTTCATGGAAGAATTGTGGCCAAAAAGGCATACCTCTGACATGAAAACAAGGCCAAGCAACTCAACTATGGACAAAAACATAAGAACTGGGGTGCAGAAAAATGGCAGCAGGTGCTCTGGACTGATGAGTCAAAATTTGAAACATTTGGCTGTAGCAGTAGGCAATTTGTTTGCCAAAGAGCTGGAGAGCGGTACATTAAATTGAGTGTCTGCAGGAAAAATGAAGCCTGGTGGAGGTTCCTTGCAAGTTTGGGGCTGCATTTCTGCACATGAAGTTGGTGAGGATCAATGGTGTCCTCAAGGCTGAGAAATACAGATATTTATCCATCATGCCATATCATCAAGGAGGCATTTGATTGGCCATAAATGGATTATGCAGCAGAACAATGATCTCAAACTTACAACCAAAGTCATTAAGAATTATCTTTAGCGTAAAGAGGAACAAGGAGTCCAGGAAGTGATCTGAGGCAGTCTACATTCACAGAAGATCTGTGGTTAGTTCTCCAAGATGTTTGGAACAACCTACCTGCCGAGTTCCTTCAAAAACTGTGCGCAAGTGTACCTAGAATTGATGCAATTTTGAAGGCAAATGGTGGTCACAACAAAATATTCATTTGATCCATCTTCTGTTCATTTACTTTACATTTTATTAACAGTCAAAAATTTACTATTAATGCTTTTATTTTTGAAAGCATTCTTAAAGCCTTTGTTAAGTTAGCGAGCAAAGTAAAAAAATGGCCCCCCCCAGCAGGTTTTAACCATAATGTGCTAGTATGCACTACATACTAGCACATTATGACAAAGTAGCCGACAAACTGATCTCTTCAGTGCTAAGCGGTCACGGCTCCCCGACGCTTCCATGTTCGCCCAGTTTTCCTTCCGGGTTCTACATTTTCGGCCACCTGAATGGCCGGGTCTGGGTAATGTAAGTCCCGTACATGCGCACAGGAGTCACATTACCGCAGCACAGAGAGCAGGCTGTAAATGTGTTCCCTATGACATTCTTTTTTTTGGTGACAGGTTCCCTTTAATGAGACATCCAGGGACTAAATGACCCTGGATATCTCCTCTATGCTCAACTGAATCTGATGCAGTACAGATCGCACTGCATTCTTCTTTCCCGTTCATGATGGCCAGGTCTGCAGAGGCACCGCACTGCTTGCATCTGACAGCCAGAAGTTGGCTTGTCAGATGTAAACACAATCCCAGTGTGTAAAATCCCCCAATGTCACTTGCACACAACTGACCTAGCAGCAAATGGGTTAAACTAGTAAAAGGGAAACCAAAAAGTGTAGAGCAATGCAAACATCTGCTGAAACCAATGGGCAAAAAAATCTGGAAAGTTATCTGAAGGTGATTGGTGCAAAAATGTTCCTTTGTAAACAAACCTTTGTTTACTACAAACAGGTTTGCATTCCTATACAAGTCATTAGGAGGACAAAACCTGCTTGAAGCAGGTCGAATGCAGGTCAGAAGGAGGTCAACTGCAGGTCAAATGCATCTATCAATGATTTGTGAATGATCTCAGGAGAGTGTCATATTGAAGCCATGAAGACCGTCATCAAGCTTGTCAACACAGGCCCCAAATGTTCAGTAAAAGAGAAACACAGAAACGAAAGGGTGCACCAGCCTAATGCATTATCCAAAAAGCTTTTATTAACATTAGATAAAAAATTACTCACAAGCATAGGAGCTAAAAGAAAAAAAAAAAAGTTTAGGCTCTGAGGAAGGAGAAGGGTATTCCTTTGCAACGCGTCAGCCTGCAGGAACCCTGATGTGGTTCCCCCTATGCTTTGAAGGCTGTCCTATCTGGATACATTCAGCCATGGATGTGTGGCTTGATGAGCGCTTTTAACTCCTATGCTTGCGAGTAATTTATCGAATTTTAATAAAAGCTTGTTGAGTAATGCACTAGGCTGGTGCACTCTCTTTTTTGTGTTTCTGTTTTAATGCCTAAAAGAAATCACCAATCCTTAGGAGCAGTAAGGCTTTATGAGATTATCCATATATTTACTGGGCCATTGCAATTATACACAGATCATTCTTGTTGTTTGTTCGTCCCCAAATGCTCAGTACTCATGACTGAAAAACTAACTAAGATAATCCATTTCTCCAGTGCACACTTACCTTGATGCCAAAATGCTCAGTTACTCCTCGGCCATGTTCTCCTAGTACTCCAAAGGAAAGACTTTCTTCCAGGAATATTCTTACTTTGTATTTGTACTTCAACTCACTCAACCTGCAATTTACAGACAGTAAAAGCCAAAACGTTTCAGAGAACTGTGGGGCAGAGATTGCTCTACAATACAGTTAAGCTACCGTTAAAACGTGCATATGTTGATTTATATTTCAGTTTATTAAATAGAGGTTTGTACTCTGGAATAGCCACAGCCTGCACAGCGAAAGTAGGTAAAAAATGTACTACACATGCATTAAGTCTATAAATCCAACTTATATTAGGTAACGAATGGAAGACTTTTCTATTTTTAAGTGATTTGAGAAATAGATGAAACTAACTAAATGTATTTCAAGAAAAGCAGACCATGAATGCAGCTGGTAACTAAAGATAACGGTATGCTACTAGTTTTTGGTTTATTTCAGAATGAACGTCACTGATTTATATACACACACACTGAATATATGAAAAGTGAAAAAAGTGAATAAAGCTTAAAATCCTTCTAATAGCTTTTATTTCCATAAACACAAATGCATTGGGAACACTACACATTCTATTCCAAATCAAAACATGAAGAAAAATATATCAAATTTGTGTTGTTCCTCTAAAAAAAAAATTGAAGAAAAGTGAATATTAGACTGTTCAAAAAAATAGCAGTGTTTGTATTCTTCTTTACAAACTCAAACATTCACTATTTAAACTGAAAAATGTTTGAAGATTTTGCTTTCCTTTGAATCAATTAATATTCAGTTGTATAAGCACTGTTTATGAGAACTGCTGTACATCTGTGTTGCATGGAGTCAACCAACTTCTGGCACCTGTGAACAGGTATTCCAGCCCAGGATGATTGGACTACATTCCACAGTTCTTCTCGATTTCTTGGTTTTGCCTCAGAAACTGCATTTTTGATGTCACCCCACAAGTTTTCTATTGGATTAAGATCCAGGGATTGGGCTGGCCACTCCATAACGTCAATCTTGTTGGTCTGGAACCAAGATGTTGCACGTTTACTGGTGTGTTTGGGGTTGTTTCTTGTTGGAACACCCATTTCAAGGGCATTTCCTCTTCAGCATAAGGCAGCATGACCTCTTCAAGTATTCTGATGTATTCAAACTGATCCATGATCCCTGGTATGAGATAAATAGGCCCAACGCGGTAGTATGAGAAACATCCCCATATCATGATGCTTGCGCAACCATGCTTCACTGTCTTCACCGTGTACTGTGGCTTGAATTCAGTGTTCGGGGGTCGTTTCACAAACTGTCTCCGGCCACTAGACCCAAAAAGAACAATCTTACTTTCATCAGTCCACAAAATGTTGCACCATTTCTCTTTAGGCCAGTCAATGTGCTCTTTGGCAAATTGTAACCTCTTCAGCACATGTCTTGGGACTTTGCGGGGGCTTCTTGCAGATAGCTTGGCTTCACATAGGCGTCTTCTAATTGTAACAGTACTCACAGGTAACTTTAGACCTTCTTTGATCTTCCTGGAGCCGATTGTGAGTCCTTGCCATTTTGGCTATTCTTCTATCCATTCGAATGGTAGTTTTTCACTTTCTTCCACGTCTTTCAGGTTTTGGTTGCCATTTTTAAGCATTTTCGATCATTTTAGCTGAGCAACCTATCATTTTCTGCACTTCTTTATATGTTTTCCCCTCTCCAATCAACTTTTTAATCAAGGTACGCTGTTCTTCTGAACAATGTCTGGAACAACCCATTTTGCTCAGAATTTGAGAGAGAAATGCACTGTAACCAGCATGTACAATATTTGCTGCCTTCCTTCCTTAAATAAGGGCAATAATTGCCACCTGTTTTTCAAAGAATGAATGACCTCACTAATAGAACTCCTCACTGCTATTATTTTGAACATGCCCCTTTCAATTAGTGATTCAATTACACAGAATCAGCAGCATGCATGTCATGACTGTTGGGTCTGTTAGATTTCTTTTACTCTACTACACCTGCTAGTAAATTATTTGCCATGTAGAAATATCATTTCTACCAAAAACAGTTATTGATCAGGTTAGTGATGTCTGACTGCTATTATTTTGAACACAGCTGTATATACACACACATATTTTATATATATATACATATATACACATACACACATATACACACACACACACATACATATACACACACATATATATACACACACAGTCCATATATATTTGAACACAGGCACAATTTTAGTTGTTTTCCAGGTATTTACCAAAACATATTCAAGCTATAGTTATATAATGGATATGGGCTGAAAGTACACACAGGTTTAATTTGAGTGTATGTGCATCCAAACTGGAGGAAGGGTTTAGGAATTACAGTTCTCAAGGAGTAGCCACCCCCCCCCCCCTTTAAGGGACTGAAAGTAATTGGACAATTGAATCAAAAGCTGTTCCATGGCCAGGTATGGGCTACTCCTTCGTTATTTCTTCATCAATTAAACAGGTAAAAGGTTTGTAGTTGATTCTAAGTGTGGTATTTGCATTTGGAATCTACGGTTGTGAACCTACATCATGCGTTCAAAGGAGCTGTCCATGCAAGTGAAACAGGCCATTGTAAGGCTTCAAAAACGAAAACAGAGAGATAACAGCAACATTAAGAGCAGCCAAATCAACAGTTTGGTACATTCTGAAGAAAGAAGAACGCACTGGTGAGCTCAGCAACATAAAAAAAATGCATGGACATCCATGGAAGACAACAGTGGTGAATGATCGCGGGATCTTCTCTATGGTAAAGAAAAATCCATTCACAGCATCCAGACAAGTGAAGAACACTCTCCAGAAGGAGGGCGTATCATTGTCAAAGTCTACAGTCAAGAGAAGACTTCACGAGAGCAAATACAGAGGGTTCACCACAAGGTGCAAAACTATTCATAATAAAAATAATGTGAACAAGGAATTCATAAGAAAAAGCGGTTACATAAAAGGACAATGCGATACTCAAATTATCAAAATATGCTTTTGTTAGCAAAGTTGCAATGTGAGACAATTCAGTAAAGACTGCTGGTAGCCATCACCTCAATGTAAGACAAACACAAAAGACAACCTAAAACAAACAAAAAAAAAAAAAAAAATATCAAAAGAAAGACATCATGGCTAGGCCATAAATTGTACTATGCTGCAGAGACGACTCAAAAGTCTTTTGCTCATACAGCAAAGACACATCAGGGTGCACCACTATAGACCAATCATCAGAACATACGAGTGTAAACTCTATTGGCATGGAAATAGAAGCCCAACTAGGGAAGATAGGCAGTAAAGAATATACATCATGACCATGTAACTGGCTACATTCCACATATAAACCGCTTGTGTCAAAATGGTGGTGAATAAGGTACTTGTTGCAATCCAGGTAGTGTATAGCCCATAGGCCAATTTCTGAGACCAGAACACAAAGCCTCCGAATAGAATATGCGATAGTGACAGATAAACCCACATAAGGCAGTGGATATTGCATTAAGGTCTACGTTTTGTTAACAAAATATGGGCAAATAGCAGTTCTCTGACAGCTAGATGTAGATTAGAGTCACTATCCAGAATTGAGGAGTGACAGGTAGAAAGTCCGTAAGGCAGCCGCCGTATAGAGACTTCCAATGGTAGAGCCCTGTCTACATGTGTGTCCAGTGATCCATCAGGCGTGAGTAAATGTGTCACTCACCACCTACTTCCTTGAGAGTACACATGGTGGTTGGTCAACGCCAAAAGTTAGCGTGGTGCTCAGTATACCCCTAGGTGTACTCTCAAGGAAGTACAATTTGACCATCGGAGGTCCTGATATGGCGGCTGCCTTTGGGACTCCAAGCATGGAACCGAGCGACTAAGGAAAGGTCATACTATCTCCATCTGGCGGAGTAGAATAATACTAAATAATACTCTTTACTGCATATCTTCCCTAGTTGGGCTTCTATTTCCATGCCAATGGAGGTTACACCCATATATTCTGATGATTGGTCTATAGCTAAATTGCAATTTCTCCATACATATATATATATATATATATATATATATATATATATATATATATATATATATATATATATATATATATATATATATATATATATATATATATATATATATATATATATATATATCCCCACCATGGTGGTGCACCCCGATGTGTCTTTGCTGTATGAGCAAAAGACTTCTGAGTCATTGTCTCTGCAGCATAGTACAATTTATTGTCTAGCCATGACGTCTTTATTATTTACATTTTTTTGTTTTAGGTTGTCTTTTGTATTGTCTTACATTGAGGTGATGGCTACCAGCAGTCTTTACTCCATTGTCTCACATTGCAACTTTGCTAATAAAAGCATATTTTGAGTATCACATTGTCCTTTATGGAACCGCTTTTTCCTTGTTCACATTTTTCTGTAGGCTTTTTTGGTTATTGGGCAATATTTTGTACTTTAAAGCGATACTTATTATTTAAAAGCCTCCATCTACATGGTTATTTGCAAACTATTCATAAGCCTGAAGAACAGAAAAACCAGATTAGACTTTGCCAAAAACATCTAAAAAAAAGCCAGACCAGTTCTGGAAAAGCATTCCTTGGATGGATTAATCTGCACCAGAATGATGGGAAGAAAAAAAAAGTGTGGTGAAGGCTTGGAACAGATCATGACCCAATGCACACAACGTCATAGGTAAAACATGGTGGAGGCAGTGTGATGGCATGGGCATGCATGGTTTCCAGTGGCACTGGGTCATTGGTGTTTATTGATGTGACAGAAGACAGAAGCAGCCGGATGAATTCTGCAGGGTTTTGAGATATACGGTCAGCCCAGATTCAGCCATATGCAGCAAAGTTGATTGGACGGCGCTTCACAGTACAGATGGACAATGATCCAAAACACACTGCAAAACAAACCCAGGAGCTTAGGAAGGAAAAGAAGTGGAATATTCTGCAATGGCCGAGTCAATCACCTGATCTCAACCCAATTGAGCATGCATTTCACTTGCTGAAGGCAAAACTAAAGGCAGAAAGACCCACAAAAGAACAACTAAAGAGAGCTACAGTTAGAGCCTGGCAAAGCATCAGAAAGGAGCAAACCCAGTCTTT